ATATATATATATATATTTTTTTTTTTTTTACAAATCAAAACAAATTAGCAACCTAAAGGACAGTCAAAAGGAAAAGCAGCAAAAAGAAAAAAAAACCAGCTAGATTTATAAGGTGGTAAAACTAAAAACGGGAACATGTCTGCATTGTTTGTTTTTTTTCATGAACTTAACAAATGTTTGAAGCCACTTAGAGAGGTCAAGGTCGAGAGCTTCAGGTCTTTTTGTAAGATATTCCTGGAAACAAGAGCAGAGTAGGAGAAGGCCCTTTTGCCAAGTTCAGTCCACACTGAGGGAACACTGCAGGTAATAATGTCCTGAGAGCGCACGCTGTAGCTGCACTCACGCAGAGACATGTAGGAGGAGATGTATGAAGGCAACAGACCAAGAAATGATTTAAAGATGAAAATGTACCAGTGAGAGAATCTGCGTGAAGTTAATGATGTCCAGTTAACCAGTGAATACTGGGTGCAGTGGTGGGTACGATAATCACAGCCAGTTATGAATCTTAGTGCACCATGATAGACAGCATCCAACATCTGCATGGTTCTTGTAGGAGCGTTCATGTAAATAATGTCACCATAGTCAATGGAGGGAAGGAAGGTTGCAGTTACAAGGTGTTTCCTAGCATTCAGAGTTAGACAGGATCTGTTTCTGAAAAAGAAACCCAGTTTAACTTTCAGTTTCTTTATGAAGTTTTCCACATGGAGCTTAAAATAGACGAGAGTCGACCAAGATACCCAAATATTTATAGGAATTGACAAACTCAGTAGGGACACCATTTGAGCATAAAATCAGGATGAACTGCTGGGACTGACTTCCTGTTTGAAAAAAGCATATACATATATATACATATGTTATAAATTACATATATATACCAGTACATACAGTATATTATAATGGAGTGGTGGTGTAGAGGTCAGGGAAGGTAGGCTTGTGATCGGAAGATTGTTGGTTCAACTCCCAGTACCGACAACATCAAAAATGTGTTGGTGAAACACCAACACCTGCCTCCACCCTCATTTGCCCCACTCTGAGCCCTTGAGCAAGGCCTTTAACTCCTGCCATCTGCTCCCCTGGGCGTGCTAGACGGCATGTCTCTGCTCCACACTGAGGGTTGTGGTAGCTCGGTGGTCTGTGGTTGTGTCAGGAAGGACATCTGGTGTAAAAATAATTGCCACGTCTTCGTGTGGCCCATTAAGAAGGGAGCAGCCGAAAGAAGAAAAATTACATGTATTATAAATTCTATATATGTGTATATACTGTATAGTATAAGTAGTTTTTGACTTTGTGCAGTGGTGTGCAGCTGACCTGTTCCTTCACTCTTGTCCATCGTGCAGGTGAGCAGACGGCCGTACAGAGTTGTGCCTGGCAGCTAGGATCATGGGTTTACACTCTGCACAGAAGAAATACTTCCCCCTGAAGGGGATAGAGGGTGTGGTTCAGCTCTTCGAGGCCGAGCTCCACAAGTCAGAGCCAGACCTAGCTCTTCTGTCTTTGGTACTAGGCTTTGTGGAGCACTTCCTGGCTGTGAACCGGGTCATCCCCATAAATGTTCCAGGAGTTTGCTTTGAACCTCTGGAGCCAGAATGTCCCAGCTCTTGTTTTCCCACAGTGGAGCTGGGCATGATTTCTGCACTGTACGAACGCTTCACTGCCCAGATCCGCGGGGCGGTGGACCTGTCCCAGTATCGGAGGACTGCTACAGGGTCCAGCAGAGAACTTGTGAAGAAAGTCTCAGATGTAATTTGGAACAGCCTCAGTCGCTCTTACTTTAAGGACCGGGCTCACATCCAGTCCCTCTTCAGCCTCATCACAGGTACAACAGCTCAATGCAAACCTGAAAGTTCTGCTCATATTGAGTCTAAAATTTAGTTAAATTAAAAAGATGTATTTGGTATTCTTTCATATTCAGTGCAGTGAGGTGCAGGGTGATAATAACTGTGAAAGTAACTCTTTATTATTTATGAACAGGCACCAAACTGGACAGCTCTGGGGTGGCCTTTGCAGTGGTGGCAGCCTGTCAGGTGTTGGGTCTGAAAGATGTTCACCTAGCGTTGTCAGAGGACCATGCTTGGGTGATATTCAGCAAGAACGGTGAGGAGACTGCGGAGGTCACGTGGCACGGGAAGGGCAATGAGGACCGCAGGGGTCAAACGGTCACTGCTGGGGTCAACGAGAAGGTCAGGCCATTCTGTCATCGGTTGTTCTTACACACAGTGTGAAAATAAAACTCATGTTCACTGACTGACAATATTCTCTGCAGAAAATCCAGAACTTTAGTCAAAATATTCAGAAGCAACTAGGGCTGGGTACCTTTCTAAAAAAATTGGTACCGGTACCTTCACTTCGGTGTCGGTTCCTGGACGGTTCTTTTTTTTGGGTACCAATTTTGTAATTACTATTAATTCTAACAAGAATAAAATTATATTACACATTATGGTACAAATCTTGTTTTATTTTCTAACTTAGGTATTTTTCCATTCCAAGCAGTTTTCTTACATAGCAATAAATAATTTCCAGTTCAAAAGACCAGTTTCAAACCAGTGACACGTCAGTGTCTAATGCTCACTGCTACACACTGAGGACCTTTTCACTGAACAGTTTTTGTTCAGAAACATCAACATGTCTATTTTCTCTGGACACAAACAAGCTGCTCCATTCATACAGCTCTATACTAGATCTATACAAAGACCAATCAGAGCTTTATCACATTCATACACTGATGGAACACACATCAGAGGCAATGAGGGGTTCAGTGTCTTGCCCAGGGACACTTCAACATGTGACTGCTGGTGGAATCTAACCCCCAACTCTCCCATTGGAGGACGACTGCTCTAACCACTCAGCCACAGCCGCCCCGGGACCGAACCCACTGGGAATTACAGCAAAATATAGAGAAACTTGTGGAAGGAACCCCAAAACACTTGACCCAGTTCAGACAGTTTGGATTCACTAATACTAAATACTAAAGACATGGATGGAAACATGAGACTTTGAAGAAAGTTTTAAAATGTATCTGTCTCATTAATCAGACGTTTAATAAACAAATAATTTTGTGAATCTTAACTGACTTAGAGCAGAAAAAGGTTTAGTCTGATTTAATGTCAGACAGTGAAATAATGGTTTGCGTCTTATCATTCAGTGTATGTAAACATCTGGTTTCAGTTGTACACAGTTGAAACATTTCTTCTGAGAAGTGAACAAAGTATTGAACTGTGTGTGTGTGTCTGCAGAGCTGGCTGTACCTGAAGGGCTCCTACATGAGGTGTGACAGAAACATGGAGGTGGCCTTCATGGTCTGTGCCATCAACCCTTCTCTGGATTTGCATACTGACAGCTCGGAGCTCCTGCAGCTGCAGCAGGTTAGCTGTGGCGCCTTTACATCTAGTCTCGTACAGTAACGAGCATGAGCTCAGACTCCATGTTGTCTGCTGTGTTCAGGCTGTTTTTCAGAGGACATTAATTCACTCTCACATGGTGGTGTGCATGCACTGGAGCTGTAGTGATCTTTTCAAATTGTTGTTTTTTTGTACTAAACCCCTCATTGAAGCTCTTTTGGCAGCTGATAAACTTTTGCATAAAATCTGCAATATTTTATTTTCTTATGCCCGAAGTTTTAATTTTCAATCTCTTGCTTTTGTCATGTTTCTGCAAATAAAAAGCCACAAAAAAAAAAAGTTACTAAGAATCAGGGTTTCAACTTTGAAAAGTATTGCATTTGATTTAAGTATTTTTCAACTCGAGGTAATTACTAAAAACAAAGTGAAAGGCTACAAAATTTATTTCTAAGATGCTCTGGTCCAAAAATCACAACCTCAGTCTGTGTTCAAAAGCAGAAAATTAAGGGTCATCCAGGTTTTTATGTCTTTAAGACATTGTAACTTAAGTAACTGATTGGATTAATAGGACTGCATGGACAAATACAACTTTCATCAGCATAACAATGAAACAGCCTTCACAATGGCCCTGTATTGAGTTTAGCTCTTTATTTTAAATGTGACTTTTAATCTTTGTTAAACGCTTGAATTGATCTCAATCCTCTGAACATCTTGATGTTTTTGACTGTACAGAAACTCCTTTGGTTGCTGTACGAACGAGGAGACCTGGACAGGTGAGTGGCAGGAACATGTGACACCGATAAAGATAACAGTGTCCTGGTCCACACGTTCCACTCGTCTGTTTCTACCACCAGATATCCCATGGCAATGGGTACCTTAGCAGACCTCGAGGATCAAGAGCCATTACCAGGAAAGGAGAGTCCCCTGGAAATCCATCTCAAGGTAAGGCATTCTTCAAGTTTCTGACAGGACTGAAAGCAGGAACCAGGAAGAAGGCTGGTTTTGGTAGCTGGAATATTGTCCAAAATGACAAAGCAGGTAATGAATTCCACTTATACCAATCGTATGTTGAAAGTTAGGACGTGTCCACACCGAAATACTGTTGTTCAAAAACTTCAATCAGTCATACAATCTTTTTATTTGTTGTTTCTAATCCTTCCTTGTAGTGAAAACTACTGTTTTTAAAATAGTTTTTATCCACACAGAAAATGACCTATGCCGGGCCTGTGTGTGGCGCTGTAACGCCATTATGTCTCCAAATACAGGGACGTAACAGACACCGACACTGCTGGAGTTAAATCCTTTTAAACACTGCGATTACACAGAGATCGGAGCGCCTAAGCATTGTTCTACCGTAATGTTTGGTCTATTGAGCGCACCTGAATATAAGCTGCACCCACTAACTTTAAAAAGAAAACAAAATCGTACATATTGAGGCCGGCTTGTCTATAAACCACAGGTGTTCATGTTGTAACTAGGTCTGTCGCGATAAACAATAAATCAATCAATCGCTTGATAAATGAAAATTATCAACCTCATTTTCATTTATCGGCTTTATTGTTTCTTCATGTTTCTCTCTTTCTACTGAAGACACTGGATGATAAAAAGCTCAACTCTGGTGCTCTTCACTGACCCCTCCCTTTCTCTTTTATCTTTAAAATCCAGTTTAACGATCCAAAATTGCGTTTTTGGATCGTTAAAAGCAGCTAAGCTGAGAAGCTAAGCTACGAGCTAAGCTAACAGGCCAACCTCGGTGGAGAAAAAAACCTCTGTCTTGTCGACGCTCTAAAATTCATGGTTGAAACCCATGCCTTTGTGTAAAAAGTTGTTTTTCTCTGCAAAAAGAAGCTGAGAACTTGTTTACTGATTCTTTATTAAAATTTTGTGTGACAAATGCTATGCTAAAGAGCTCAAACCACACTGAGCCTCCGCCATTTGGAGAACCAAAAACTTAACTTTAAAAACTATTGTTGCAGCTGAGGAGCTTTTATTCAGATCTGACTAAATTAAGCAAAACTTCTTAAACCCTAATCTTATCCCTGTTTGCAGCGGCCATCTTGGGATATTTATGTGGCCCAATTTTCGATGGTCACTTTTCTTGCACCTTATGTAGCCATACACCAAAATAGAAGCGGGTACCTCACATATTTTTCAAGTTATCATGCTCACAACATTCATTCATTCATTCATTCAACCTTTATTTAACATGCACAGATGAACAGAGAGAGAGAATGTCCTGTCCCCCTTTGCTTTGTGATGGGGGATAATATCTTGAATGAAATGTCCTTGCTGTTTTGCCCCTTTTGTTGTTATCATGTACTTCACTGGTGCTGAAGCAGCCATCAGTAATCATCATTCACTCCTGTTTCCACAAGGATTCTTATAATATTTGTGTTTAGAGCAAAGATCGTCATATGCTTGAACTTCAAAATCTCTCTTTCATGTGTTATTAGTAAAAACACACGTTGAAGCTGAATTGAAGAGATAGAAATGTCTCTGCTTCCTCTCATTGTTCAAAAATTAAAGCCAAAATAGGAACTAAATCACACTTTTAAAGCCTCAAATTGCTAATGATCCAAAACTAAATAAACTAAATGTACTGAATAATTGTTATTTTGAACATACAGCAGCAATGTGAGAAGTACAGGAATCAACAAAACACCTGACAAGAGTTAACTCAGAGCAAAAACATGCATGTTAGGCTGCCTTCAGGCCCAGGCCATTGTTTACATTTGTGACATCATGGAGAAGTGAAGATGGCGTCCAAAACAGGCACTGCTCACAACCAACCAAACAACTGTTTTAATTAACAACAAGCCCGACTGGATCTGTCCCCAATTATTTTAATTATTTAAACAGTATCGCTGAAACGTTGATCGTAATTAAAGGGCAACGCGTTCAGTCTGTTCAGTGTAACACCTACAACCACGTCTTTCTGTCTTTTGCAGGCTGTGACGTCTGCTCAGACGCACTACAACAACGAGCACATTTACCCCTACATGTATCTGGCTGGCTTCCACTACAGGCACAGGAACGTGCAGGAGGCTCTGAAGGCCTGGGCCGAGGCCGCGCAGGTCATGCAGGAGTGAGTTCACACTGCGAGAGGCTCTCGCTGGAGTCAAACTGAAACCACGCCAGCGTCGCTGCTTTTATCACAGTAAACCTGTTGGGTAGAATATAACTAGATTCTGTCAGTAAATGGAGAGGATAAAAAGTTGGTGCATATTGGAAAAACCTGTTTTTATTGATGTGTTACACAATGTATCACTTTCATTCCAGAGTTTGAAACTAATCTGAGAACGGGTTCCCAACACTGGTCCTTGAGGGACACCATCCTGCATGTTTTAGTTGTTTCTCTGCTCCAACTCACCTGATTCAGGAATTTAATCACTCCCTCCACCTGTTCATACAAACCAGGTGTGTCAAAGCAGGAAACTACTAAAACATGCAGCATGGTGTTCCTCAAGGCCTAGGGTTGGGAACCACTGATTTATGACATGTAGTCTGGTTGCTAACATTGTATATTCTTAACTTATCAACTTTCAGCTCATCTTAAAAATACCAGTAGTCATTTTTGTGTTGGCTGTGGCGGCCATCTTGATTTGAGGTGTCTAGAGGTTATTCAGTCGTTGATGTGCGTCCAGTAATTTCTTTATGAGAGTTTTTAATTTTAAACCCATCCACTGGTTTATAAGCTTTAATTGCAAACGCTACAAACAGTCTAGAAACCGTGTCGTCCTTCTGCCCTGACGGCAGGTGACAAACCTTTAGGCTGGACGCTTCTTAAACGTCGGGGATTCATCAACCAACCTTCAAGTGAAGATCTGTTTTAGTTGTGCTTTCATCTGGGAAACACCGGATGGTGGTAAAGCACAGCTGTATGTGGACCTGCCTCCAGATACTTAGCTGATCTAGTTTCAGCTCAGTAAAGTGTGTGTGTGTGTGTGTGTGTGGGGGGGGGGGGGTGGCATGCATCAGGGAGAATCAAGATTGTGTTGTGGTTGTGTCTGATCCAGGAAATGTTCATGTTGGGTGCTAACACGCTGTTAGTGAGCCGTGTCTATAAATACCCAGAACATGCATTCCCTCCTCGTCTGTCAGCTTCCTTTTTCCTGCTCGCCCATTGTTCTTCACTTTCAGCTCACCCTCCGTGCACAATCACAGGGAAATGTGTGTTTATGCCCTGGCTTTAGTCAGGGGAGTTCACTCAGTGCCATTTGTGCATTTCTGTTGTGCTCTCTGAGTCTGGCCTTGCAGGCTGCTAACCCCACCCCCGTCACAATTTTACACCTGATTGAGCTGGTCTCCTTCTGTTTCATCAAAGCCTTCCTCCTCTCACCTGCTCTGCAGCTACAACTATTTCCGAGAGGATGAGGAGATCTACAAGGAGTTCTTCGACATTGCAAACGATGTGATCCCCACCCTGCTGAAAGAAACAGCTGCTGCCGAGAGCCCCGGGGAGGAAGAGGAGGGTGGAGAGGGGGCTGACAAGGTGAGACATGTCCTGGTCAGGTGAGGGATTTAGAGCAGCAGAAAAGCTGAACTGCATTAAATCAGGTTTGATGTAAATGTTTCCAGACTTTGTCGCCTTACAGCCACAAACTTCAGAGTTTAGAAGTAAAACTCACAGCAACCTTCAGAGGTCACATTCCAGCTGTGTGTCATTTAATCTGTGTGGATCCAGATGTTCTGCCCCAAAGGTTTGTTACAGAACATTAGTGATCAAACAGCATCATGAAGACCAAGGAACACAGCAGACCGCTCGGTAATAAAGTTGTTAAGCACTTTAAAAAAGGTTTAGGTTATAGAACAAAATCAAACGTGTCCTTTGTAGAAGAAAGACGAGAAAACACGTCCTGTTCGACACAAGAAGAAGCTGCTCTGCTCAGATCAGACCAAACCAACACTGCACATCACCCTGAACACACCATCCTCACTGTGAAACATGGTGGTGGCAGCATCATGCTGTGAGTAGACCTGTCGCGATAAACAATAAATCAATTAATCGCATGATTAATAAAAATTATCAACCTCATTGTCATTTATCGGCTTTATCGTTTCTTTGTGTCTCTCTACTGAAGACACTGGATGACAAAAAGCTCAACGCCGGTGCTCTTCACTGACTCCTCCCTTTTTTTTCTCTCTCTTTAAAATTTGTTTTAACAATCCAAAATTGCATTTTTGGATTGTTAAAAGCAGCTAAGTTGAGAAGCTAAGCTACGAGCTAAGCTAACAGGCTGACCTCGGGGGGGACCTCAGTGTTGTTGAAGCTTCAAAATTCACAGTAGAAACTCGTGCCTTCATGTAAAAAGTTGTTTTTCTCTACAAAAAGAAGCTGAGAACTTGTTTACTGATTTTTTTAAATTAAAAGCTATGTGTAAAAAATGCTATGCTAAAGAGCTCAAACCACCGAGCGTCCCCCATTTTGAGAACATAAGAGAGACAGCCCATGTCACGTCAAGGGGCCTCCCTCCCATTTTCCTTAAAGAGACACGCTGCTCCCTCCCTCACTATCCATCCTTCAGTTCAAACAGTCTTATACTGCCATCCAGTGGTCGAAAAAAGGTACTACATGCAAAAATTAACAAACATTTCTTCTTAAATTTGACAGTAATTACTAATTATTGTCAAATTTCAATCAATATTATCATTTACACAATAATTTCTGAGACAATTAATCGCCCAGCAAAATTAGTTATCGTGACAGGTCTAGCTGTGAGGGAAGCTGCTCAGAGCTGACGGGAAGATGGATGGAGCAGGACACTCCTGGAAGAAAACCTGTTGGAGGTTGTAGAAAACCTCAGACTGAGGTAGAGCTTCCCCTTCAGCCACATCTACAATGGATTGGGTCAACTCAGAGCGCATTCATGAGTGGTCCAGTCAAAGTCCAGACCTGCATCTGACTGAGAATCTGGCAAGACCTGAGAACTGCTGCTCACAGACTCGATCCATCCAACCAACTGAGCTGCAGCTGAGGTACAAAGAGGAATGGGACAAAATGTTGTTGTGTACAGAACAAAGACCTGCAGCTGGACCTGCAGAGGAGGGAGGTTCTAAAGACTCGGGGGCTGAATATAAACGCAGACCACCCTTTCCTTGTTTCTATTTATAAAATCTTTTTAAAAACATCTGAAACTTTCCTTCCACCTAACATTTAAGCTCCACTTTGTTTGTTTCCAGTAAAACCTTGAAGTTTGTGGCTCTAAAGAGACAAAATGAGTAAAACTTGAGGAGGGACAGAGACTTTTACTGATTCATGATGAAAGTCGGTCCAGCTGAGCTTATCCATCAACAAACATCTTGATGTTTTCACTGGATGATCCAGACCAGCTCCTCGGTCACATCTTCGTTTTCTTTCAGGAGCACGCCAAGCAGGGAGCGGCTCTCTCTGCACTACACGACCCAGAATGCTTTGCCCACCTGCTCCGTTTCTACGACGGCATCTGCAAGTGGGAGGAGGGGAGTCCCACTCCAGTCCTTCATGTTGGCTGGGCCACCTACCTGGTCCAGTCTCTCAGCCGCTTCGACGCCCAGGTGAGGAGCTCAGATGCAACATTTGGTGCCGTGCAGCCTGAAGCTGACCGCTGCTCTGCTTTCAAAGGTGCGGCAGAAAGTGTCCATCATCAGCAAAGAGCCCGAGTGCCAGGACGACGACGACCAGTCGAGCGAGGACCCCCGTGAGGGCCGCAGGCGGGGCCCGAGGAGGGAGTCCAAGCTGGACGAGCAGAGCTCTCCCTCTCCTGCTGCTCCCTCCTCCCCCTCCACCCAGCTGCCGCCGGCTGCTCAGCCCAAGAAGGTGGGAGACGGAGCCATCCGGCGGCGCTCCTCTCAGGGCCTGCGGGCCGCAGACTCTGAAGGAACACCCAAGTCCCCCAGCCCAGACTCTGTCTCGTCCCCCTCCTCGCAGCAGCAGGCGTCCCCCTGCCCGGCTGGGCCCGTGGTGGCCTTTCAGAGCGAGAAGATGAAAGGCATGAAGGAGCTGCTGTGTGCAGCCAAGGTGAACTCCAGCGCCATCAAGCTGCAGCTCACCGCTCAGTCCCAGGTCCAGATGAAGAGGCAGAAAAGCACGCCGGCCGGGGACTACTCCATGTCCTTCATGAAGCGCCAGCGCAAGTCCCTGTAGACCTGCTGATCACTGGGAGGAGACTGGAAGACATACTGTGAAGACCAGCACTCGCTTTTGTTCATTTCACTGGTGTTTCCAGCCCGAGGACACGCTCGGTCCACGTCCTCTGTCCTGAGCAATGCTTGGAGCTGGACAGAGGACATGAAGTCCAGCACCACGTGTCCCACCAGGACTACTGAACATGTGATTGTTTTTAACTTAAGTAGATTGTAAACACCTTTAGTTTGTTCTAACTGATGTAAAGTCCAGGTACAACTTTCACAGAATGATCTGATTAGACCCCAGAAGAACTCGGTCGTGACTGAACATTTGGAAGTGATTACTTTAGGATAGTTACTGTGTAACATTGTCCGCTCTGCTCTAATGACAGCTTCCATCTTGTTAGCTCTGTGTTGCCTTACTTTGTCTCTTGTTGTCTAAAGTAGGTGAAGCTTTAGTTTTTAGATGAAACCAGAAGACCAGACACTGTTCAGATGGAGCCATATTGGGCTGTCCTGTTTTATGACTTTGTTTGTTTTGTTTAGTTTTTGAATTTGCAAGAAATAAAGACCTGATGAAAACTGTCGAGCTCTCTGTGCAAACCACGCACGTTTAATCATGCTCAATAATCCAGGTTAAAATCCAACGATGTTCAGCTCATCTGGTCGGGTTCTTTGTTTTGTTGAGGCGTTTCGTCCTTCATCCAAAGTACTTCATCAGTCCGAGGAGCCACAAAGTAATAAAAGCCCATAATTGACTAACTCAGTAGACCCAGCAGTTCACTGGTGATAAGATGGTTTCTGGGGCCCGCCCTCTCCCCTGAGGCATGAACTTTGATGTTTTGAACCACTTTGGCTATAGCTGCCTCAGAGGAGTTGATGGGGGAGAGGGCGGGCCCCAGAAACCATCATCGCCAGCAAATTGGTTGGTCCACTATAGGAGTGTGATTCTTGTGGGACTGAGTTTGTTGTGGCTCCTCGGACTGATGAAGTCCTTTGGATGAAAGACGAAACGCCTCAACAAAAACAAACCGTCCAGATGAGCTGACTGAACTTTGCTGGGTTTGATCGGGAGCGTTTGGATTTGTCAACAAGTCCAGATTAATTCTGATTCATGGAAAAACTGGGGTACCGTTCCTGTCATGTTTAATTAAAGCTGCTGCATTGAAAAGGCCTTTTTATTCAATGTATTGTTATTTTTACTAACCTCAAAGGTTTTGTCCTTGTTGCACAGCTTTGAAACAAAAACACAAGTTGTAGAGCAAAATGCAACTTTATGAAGAAACATTTGTCACAACAGCCAAGATTCACAAAGTTTTTTCAAATGTACACATTTCAATATCCGTCCATTATCTTTACCTGCTTCTTCATTTTCGGGTCATCCAGCAGTTCCTCTATGAGAGGTGGGGGACACCCTGGACAGGTCTCCAGTCCATCACAGGGACCATCGAGACAAACAAGACCATTCACTCTCACCTAGAGACAATTGCCAATCAGCCTAACGTGCATGTTTTTGGTCTGTGGGAGGAAACGAGTATCTGGAGAAAACCCATGCATGCACCGAGAGAACATGCAAACTCCACTCGGAAAGGTCCCCTGGCCAGGATTTGAACCAGCGACCTCGCTGAGGCAGCAGCTCGACCAACTGCTCCACCGTGCTGCCCACATTTCAATATGCACAATTATTCAGTCCAGAAAACTAAACATCCATTATCCCTCAGTGACAGGTGACATTCTACCGCTTGTTTCTTTTGAACTCAGTGCAGCCAAACTGAAACAGGAAGTGACATCAAAGGGGAAACTCGTGGTTTATGGAAACAATCAACTCTGACTTTGTCTCAGTGACTCAAAATAATCTAAAGAAACATCAGGTTCTTCTCTGCTGTCCGTGTTGTAATCCAAACCCAGACGGTTGAAGCAGATGTTGCTCGTCCTGAACCTGGTTCTGCTAAAGGTTTCTTCCTCATGAGGGAGTTTTTTCTTTCCACTGTCGCCTTCATGCTTGCTCAAGATGAGAGTCTGTGATGGAGTTAAACTCAAAGCAATCTGCTCCTCAGATAAATAATGTTAAGTTATTATTTTTACATATGTTTTTGTTCAGTGATCTGAGATGACTTCTGTTGAGGACACTATAGAAATGAATTGGATTGAATCTATCCAGTGAGATATTTTACTAATAGACAGGGTTCATTCCAACAGTTAATGCTAAAGTTTTAAACAAATATGTCATTTAATGAAAATCACTCAGAGAGGGTCAGGGCTTAATTTGTAAACTGATTGATGCCAGAACGGTGGGGGGTGTCTGTGGGTTTTCCCACAGAACATTTTGAATAACAGAGATGCCATTTCCTGCATTTTGGTGTATTTCAGAATAAATTTTATATATCGTAATATATATTTATTATCTGTTATCTGCAACGTTTTTATGTCTATATTCTGATTTAACTTCATTTTGTATATTGCTTCGTGTGTTGCCTGTTGTTCTGTCTCTACAGCACTTTGGCCTTGTCGCTGTTTTAAGTGCTCTATAAATAAAATGGTATGGTGTATCACTCTCAGCTACTACCTCATCAATATTTAGCCCAGTGTTTGTAAAAATGATCAAGTTCTAGACATTTTTGTGTTTAGTAAAAACGGTTGGTTGTGGCAGCCATCTTGAATTAGGTTAAAAACGTTGTGCAAGTTTTACTACAGATATTTTGGTGGTTCAAGTAACACACATTCTGCGGTGAGCAATAATTACAAACTTTACAAAGTGTATATGTCATTTTTGACATTTGTGATGATATAGTTATCAATATATAAATAAATGGTTTCTTTTTTCATAATAACTTTGTGCAGTTTAGATAAATTGTACTCAGCCAACATGAACAGTAGCTGTGATGTCACGTTAATATATAAGTATAACTTATATAATATAAATAAAATTATATTTATATATAAATATATGATTTTATATATATATATATATATATACATAAACATATATATAATATATCTTTATTTATCATAATTATTTATATATATGTGTGTGTGTGTGTGTGTGTGTGTGTGTGTGTGTGTGTGTGTGTGTGTGTGTGTGTGAAAATATAGGTATATATATGATCTTAATATATATATAATATACTGAAAGATATAAAGAGTGGGGCCCAACCCTCCAGCTGTATCACCTCACTGCGCATGCGCACCGTGCCTCCAGCCTCAGGTTGAGCTCAATCAGTGCATGACAGTGTTGGAGGAGCAGAGCTGCGCGCGTGTCCGTCAGTCCAACAGGTCCTTACGGACACAAACACCAGCAATTAGTCGGCTCCCCTGAAGCGTCCCTCCGGCGGCAGGTGTTCTTCAGGCGGGATGTGCGGGTAGAAGAATCCGCCGGAGTCCGCCCGGTCCTCCGCAGCAGCATGGACAGGATCGGGGTCTCGTTCCTGGACCCTCTGGAGGACTATGAGCTGATCCACAGGATTGGGTGCGGCACCTACGGGGATGTGTTCAAGGTGAGTCGCTGTTTATCTTTGAAAACAGACGTGTGGACTTCCTGACATCAGGGCCAGCAGAGCTCTATGGAGGACTCTGAGGAGTTCCTCAGGGTCCTTCAGAGCTCACCTGTCTCAGGTGACGTGGCTCCACCAGGACCCAGGTCTAGTGGTATTCTGTCCCTTCACCTCTGTGAGCCCTGTGTTGGACCTGCTCCTGAAACTATGTAAAAAAAAAAAACCACAGGAGTGTTCGCTTCTGTCCATCTTAATCCATCCCTAAAAGCAAAAACCATCACTGATATAATCTGCTACAGATTATATAATCTAACACAAAGAGTGAACTCTTTCAAGTCCTATTAGTTTGCACGCTTCCTGTTCTGACAGCACACCCTGCATCCTGCAGCAGCTCTGCAACAATTCATTTCATTTTGTTACGCTTCATAGACACATCCTGAGTGAACAGCTTGTGGGCTCTAATCTGTCTGTATGCTCTGTAATCTGTATGATCTGTAATCTGTATGATCTGTAATCTGTATGATCTGTAAACTCTTGTTTTACGTTTCACTTTGGGGCCTGCCGTGTAAATAATTTTAAAGTGATTCCTGTTCGAGCTGGACTATTCTGAATACAACAACGGTCTCTCTGGCTCTCCTCTCAGTTTTCTCAGTACTTTCTACCTCCTCTTTACGTAGTATTGTCACCCTCAAAGGTACGTACAAGTATTTGTAAAGCATACAATACTATGAAGAGGGTATTGGTCTATTTTAGCAGGGAAAAGTTCTGGAAAAGTTGCGTCATTGTGTAAACCGTAAGGTCAAAACTGAATGCAGTGATTAGTGAACCTCCTCCCTCCTCTGGCTGCTCCTTCTGCAGGAGTCGTCGTGTTGAGGGGAGTCGTATGAAAAGTGTAACTTCTGCTGTGAAGCTACACATCCTCTGTTAACATCGGTCTGTGAACGTCCAGGACCGGAGGAGACCGGTTGTTGGAGGCTCTGGAGGAACCGTTGGTCTGGTGGAGTCCAGCTCTTCAACAGTCCCGGCTCGTCTTTTCAGTATTTATTTACTGGACAGGAGCAGATGTTGCTCTAAAACCTGTAGACACTTTTGCATTGATGGAGGTGGGTAAGCTGCTCATGCCAGAAGCCTCATGCGCAGAGGCGGACTGGCCATCGGGAGCGTCGGGACAATTCCCGGTGGCCTGGTTGCCGAGGAACGGGACTAAAGGCTCGGTTCGGGTCGCACGGACTTTATTATTTTAAATAAACAATTCACTTTTGCCTGGGCTCAGGTCTCACGCTGCACTGCAGCGACGGAGAAAGCCTGGCACATCCCCCGGCCGGGCCGGCCCCCTCCCTTCCTTTTCTGTGTGTCACTCACAGAGCAGAGACACACACACACACATTGCGCCCGCCCCCCTCCCCGCCCTAGGACTCGCGCTCCCGACGGTGTTGGCGCGCGGTGCGTGCATCTCAGAGCCAAAGAAGAGGAAAGGTGGAGCAGAGAGAGAGGATAAAAAAGAGAAAAGCTCTGGCCGCGGATGCTGCTAAGTGCTATAAATTAATGTTTGTTCGTAATGGAGCAGGTAAGAGAAACACTTGTGTTGAAAAAATTGAACTCTGGCACAGTTTATCAGCACAGCTTAATATCCACATGCTAGCTTCACTTTGAGGGACCTAAGTGGGCCAAAACTGACTTAATATAACAAATGTTTTTAAGTTTTTACAAAGAATATTGCAAATTTTATAATATGGGTTAGGATCTGAAAAAAGTTTAATGTTGAAATGTCTAGGAATTCAGATTTTTTTGTATCTAAAAAAGTTAAGTCAGGTCCTCTGGACAAATAAAAAAAAACTTGTTGAAACTTTTGTCTTTAATCCAAAAAACTAAGTTCAGTCTGAGGAGTTGCAACAAGCTCAGTTTCAAATAGCCTCTTCTCATAGTGGATCAACCTGTTAACATAAGGAAGACCTGCAGCCTAACAACCCCTAACAATGGTTTCTTTTCACAAAGATGGCTTCCTTTACTCCTCTCTCAAACCATAGTTCCTCTCTATCAAGGATGTGCACATCTTCATCCCTGAAAGTGACTGCTGGCCTGGAGATGAGTGTAGACCGCAGAGTCCTGGCCTGAAGATGTTGCTCTTCTGTGCTGGGCCAAAGAGCAACATCATCAGGCCAGGAGAACTCTGTGGTTTACACTCATCTGCAGGCCAGCAGTCACTTTCAGGGATGAAGATGTGCTCATCCTTGATAGAGAGAAGTGTTGGTTTGAGAGAGGAGTAAAGGAAGCCATCTTTGTGATGAGAACTCATCCATCATTAAACAGGGACAGAGGCCTCTGTGTCCAACTGTAGCCCTCTTACAATGCTGTTATTGCTGGTATCTCTCAGCCCCCTGTGAATAGCAAACAGCCTAGAGCACTAACGATCCATTGTTAGGCTGATGATGGTCCTCCTTTATCATGTTAACAGCTAGTTCTGGATGTCAGCAACAAACTGGTTGATCCACTATGAAAAGAGACTATTTGAAACTAAGTTTGTTGCAGCTTCTCAAACTGACAGTCTTTTGGATTAAAGACTAAACGTTTCAACAAGTTTTTTTTTTTTTTTAATCTGTCCAGAGGACCTGACTTAACTTTTTTAGATTTTCTACCTGGATTATTGAGGATATTTTGTGTATACCCTTCATTACTCCAATAAATTATCTGAATATTAAAATCCTTGTATTACAATATTTTATTTAAACTTTATTTTACCAGGTAAAGTTCCGTTGAGATTAAGAACTTTTTTTTTGTTATATGAATAGCCAATACATATAAATAGTCAATAAGTGAAAATGAATAGATGGGAAATTATGGATGGCTTTTTAGACGTGTGCAAACAACATGCATTCAAAGTGCGCTCAATTGAACTCAGTCTTGGTGGTTTGCGTTAATCAGGTGGTGGTGGCCTGGGATGGTATCAAAATTCCCGGCCTGGATTATTGTCCCAGTCCGCCCCTGCTCATGCACCCCCATACCATCAGAGAGGCAGGCTTTGGACCTTTGCTGATAGGCTTTATGGTCCCTCTCCTCTTTTGGTTTCTAAAGAGAATTGAAACACTTGGACCAGTCTGACCACAGAACTGATCTCCAGTTCTCTCAGTCCATCTGAAATGGTTCTGGTCCAGAGCAGACGGCAGAGGTTCCGGATGGTGTTCACATTCTTCTTCTTTGGCTGATAGAGCTTTAAGCAGCGTCTGTGGATGATCTATAGAAGTATTCCTGAGCCTAGAACAGAACCAGACCTGGTTTTAATGCAGTGGCCCCTGAGGGCCCGAACATCATGACCATCTGATGACCTTCAACCTCGACCTTTGAGCTCTGAGATTTTTACAGGTTCTTCAACTCTGATGTTTCTATAAAGTGTAGATGATGTGGTCATTTTCAGACAGATGATCTCAGAACCTCTGCCCGTCTTTACTTCGAAGTGATTCAGCCTCTGAATGTTTTTTAGACTCGGTCCTCTCACTGACCTGCTGACAATGAACCTGGTTAGTTGTCCAATGCTCCTCCAGCTGTTTATTATTCACATCACTTACTTTTACAGCCTTTTGTCCCTGATCCAACATTTTTAAGATGTGTCCGTTTTCTCCAAGTGATTTCCTGTCACACGGACAGGAACGGTGCTGTCTGTATGATGTAATGAAAATATTGTCAAACAAAACGAGTAGAAAAAATGTAGTAAACGTTTTGGAGCGTTCACTTAAGAACTCAGACATGGCACCAACACCACAGTAGCAGCTGATCCAAGGCCCAGACTTCACAGTACAGATCTAAGGTCAAGTGGGCTCAGCTGACCGTGACATCTGCACCACCTTTGTATTACAGACATATTACAGCTTGTGTGTCAGCGTTGAATGGGAGCAGTGCTGCATTCTGCACCAGACAATAGCATATTATTTCTTCCCACTTCTGCAGTTCGTGGTGGAGCTGCTGGAGTTGAGGGTGAAACCTCTGGACATGTGACTGTGTGGGCTTTCAATAGACTGACATTATACTGCTGCTATGGTCAGTTCAGAGCATCTCTGTGCTCTGAGCCACGTCATTTTGTGGTGCGGAACAACCTCATCAGTCCACATTCAAAGTGCTTTGAACTTCAACAGTTTCTAACTGAGCTACATCCGTTCAGCTTATTCAAAAATACTTTTTTGTAAGAAAATCACAACAACTAGTGGGCAAATTTTATATTGATATTTGGAAACATAAGCTTTCTATCTCGTGAAGAAAATCCCATTCAATGTAAACATGAGCTTAGATGTAACGTCTGGCAGTTATTCCAGTATATTCCTTGTTGTTCCCAGTTGCAAAGTGAAGAGGGAACTTGGAAATACACTTCGTCCACCTTGTGCGAATGATAAAATAAGTGAGACATTGACTTCCACTTTGGTGTGTGGCTGCATCTAGATCTAAGGAAGATCACTATCAACAATTGGGTTGGGTTGCCATATCAAAATCCATATATATATATATATATATATATATATATATATATATATATATATATATATATATAT